CCATTTTTGGAATTACACTATTTTGAAATAAAAAATGGAGTAATACATTAAAAGTTTGTTTAATATTTTCAAAAACTCCCTAACATCAGTTTTCGTTAACTAAGAATATCCTTCTCATGTTTGTTTATTTTAAGAATTTAAATATTCACTTTCGTTGCATAAGAAAACCCAGAAATCATCAACTTGAAGCATTAAAGTTAACCTAGATGAAAATCGATAGATTATTCCCAATTGTAAAATCACAATCACAATTCATGAATTTTATTTGTAAACGTAAACCTAAATACATATTTACTCAGATAAAAAAAAAATACCAATGATGACAAACAAATGATGACAAACAAATGATGAGAAATGTATAATTAGACTTTTTTAACACTTTTTTAAAAAATGTATAATTAGACTAGAAAGTAAAATATGTATGGGTTGAGAAACCCTCTCTAGAGAGAGAGAGAGTACAAATTCATATGTCTAAACCTCTACAACTCGAAAATCTGAAAGAAAATAAAGCTTAACCTCTATAATGACGCAAAATAGCAAATATATGTCAAAACTCGCCAGTCACAAAATCCTAGTCAAGACCGGACAAAAAAATCAAGAAAATTAAAATTTTCCATTTTGCACGTTGAACTGTGATCGATCACAAGTAGGAACGGTCGTTCTTAACGTCTCGGTCTATAAATTAAGGGTGGCATTTCAGTTATTTGGTTTAATTAATTTGGTTTTAGAAATTTTCCACCTGAAGTAAGCCATAATTAGTTTGGTTTGGATTGGTTTCAATTCTGTTTGTATTCGGCTTGGTTTATATTTTGGTTCGGTTTGGTTGGGTTCCCTTACTCTGGTTCTTTTAAGAAAAATCATGTTTTAAACTTAAACGCATGGTCATGAAATCATCTTATTGGTGACTATGAAAAAATATAATATGTAAACTAAATCCAATATAAACCTGAAACAAAAACCTTTTAACAATAAAATAAAAAGATTATAAGAAAAATCAAATTAAAATTAAATAAAATACATAGAAAATTGAAAACAAATATCGTTAACAATGCCTCGTAAAAGTAAACTACGTAAACTAAATCTATTATAATACTGAAACAAAAATCATAAAAACCCACAAATGAATTTATAAAAACACAATCAAACCAAAGTTAACTAAATTAAATAGAAAAAAAAAAGCAATATCATTATTAAAGTTAATAATGATTTTAGTTCTAAGATTTTAATATATTGTATATCGCTAGTATAGTAGTATGTTTAATTCAAATAATAACAAAAAAAAACACAATGGTTTCTCAGTTCGGTTTAACTTGGTTTGGTTCGGTTCGGATCGGTTTTGGTTCAGTTGGTTAGTGTTGGGAAATCTTAAACCGAACTATTTGATAGTAGACTTTTGTTTGATTTGGATCGGTTTCCGTTCAATTGGTTGGGTTTGACTCGGTTGGTTCATTTTTTTCCACCTCTACTATAAATAATTCTGGAACAAAACTTAGGTTCACCCCCATAGGTGAACCTTTAAATTCACCTCTCTATCAATGACCAATTAAATTAACACATAGGTTATTAAATAATAAATATTAAATTAAATAAAAAATAGCTAAAAATAATGACGTCAATATTAGTGACATAAACGCAGCCAACTAAACCCTAAACTCTAAATATTAAGTTCTAAACTTTAAATCTAGACTCTAAATTAAAACCCAAATCCCAAACCCATAACCCTAAGTCCTAAACTCTAAACCCAAATCCTAAACCCTAAACTCCAACCGTATACTCTAAACCCAAACACTATATCCTAAACTCAAATCCTAGACCCTAAATCCAAAATATATACCATAAACCCAAATCTTAAACCCTCAAACCTAAAGCCAAATTTTAAACATTATACATAAATTCTAAACATAGACACTATATGGTTTGGGTTTAAAGTTTACGGTTTGAGTCTAGGGTTTACGGTTTTGGTTTAGGGTATAGAATTTAGGTTTAGGGTTGGGTTTATGATTTGGGTTTATTGTCTAGGTTTTGAGTTTAAGGTAGACAATTTGGGTTTAGGGTCTAGAATTTGAGTTTAAGGTATAGGATTTGGGTTTAGGCTATAGAATATAAAGTTTAGAAGGGTTTAGAGTTTTATTGGCGGCGTTAACGTATGTTATTAATATTTTTAGCTATTTTTTATTTAATTTAGTATTTTTATTAAATAATATACATGGTAATGTAATTGGTTATAGAATGAGAGGTGAAGTTGAAGGTGAACCTTAGTTTTGTTCATAATTCTGCGTCTTTTGGTCGATATGAATCTAGTTTTTCTCATTTCCTTTTTTGCGCCTAAAACACTATTCAAACGTGTTTAACATGAAAAGAGTCAAAAAAATACTTGACAACCAAAGTTAGAAAGCATCTAATCTATTTAAAAGAGTCTTATTTTTTATCTAGGTACAAATAGTCTAGGTTGGTCGATTTAATTTATGTGATTTTTAATATTTTTTATATAAAAAACTTAGTAATTATTAAATATACGTAATTTTAATATATTCTTTAAATATTTTCAAAATAAGATATCAAAAGATATTACCAAATATCTTTTCTACTGAGAAAATCTTTTAATATCTTTTTATTTAAAATATAGATATTTATTATTTTAATATTTATTCCAATAATAAAAATTTGTAATTATTTTAAATTTTATTACAAATAAACATTAATTCATTTTAATTTATAAAATAAAATACCATTTTTGTAATGTCTATATATATTTATATATAATTCATACATAATTAAATTATTACAATAAAAAAAATATATATATATATATAATTAATTTCAACTATTTTATAAATTACAAATTAAAATAATTACATATGAATGATAACATATATTTATACAGTTTACAACATATTTCAGTTTATTTAAGGAAAATACTAAAATGAAATATTTAGAAGCATAAATATTTTTTTAATTTAACATAATAGCTAAATTATCATATTAACATATAATTTAGTATATTTTAATTTAAAATAAAATATTAAATTTAATGGAAATTAATATTATTTGATTATATAGTATATTGAATTAATATATTAGGATTTACAATTCCAGGTTTTTGCAGCTCATTTCATAAAATGTAAATATTTATCAAGTATAAGACGGATTGAACATCATATAATTCATTTATATTATAATAAATATTTATTTAACATTATAATAAAATAAACTTGACAAATATAAGAAATAGAAAAATAAAGTTACATTATAAGTACGGATCATGTTAGAATATAACACACCGGTTCTGATTATAATTTGTATCACATATTAAAATATATAAATTAACAATATATCGTTTGGATATGGATTATATTAGCTTGGTTCAGATATATCCAAAATTAAGTCCCAAAATTAAAAGCAAAACATAAGAAGTAAATACTTTTGTATAGAATTGGATATTTAAAACATTTAATTTAAATTTAAATATTATTTTAGATGCCATTGCAAAATAAATATAGACCTGAATATTTAAGTACATATTTATGTTTCAAATATTTATATTTATAATTAATTTGAACATTCAGATCGGTTTTTAAGTTTTTTGGATTTTTGGTTATTTTGGTTACCCGTTCAAGTTTGACTAGTAATACTTCGGGTGTGGATATGTTTTGTACCACCTTAAAAGACCAAATTTCTTACATTTCGGACTGAGTATATATCGAACTGCTAATTTGGGTTCAATTCAGACTTTGGATTGCAAATTTTATACTTAAACCTATTTTAAATATAGACAAGTACGATTATATAAAATTTTCATTAGAACATTATTCCGCGCTTGAAAAGTGCGAGTTAAAATCTAGTATGGATTAAAAACGGAAGTCATCGGCTATACCTATACGATTATATGAGGAAAAATTAACTAGTTAAATCTATAAGGGTAGTTAGATCATTGGTTTTTGGCTTTTAGTTTTTAGTTTTTAGATTTGGTTTTTAGTTTTTGGTTTTTGATTTTGCAGTAGATTTTAGATTTTTGAAAAGCTTGAACGCTGATGGTAGATTTTTGTTTTTTTCAAAGTAAAATAAATAAATATAAACAAAATATTTATAAAAAACTACTATTGTCACTAGAAATGAATATTTTCTTATATTAAAATTTATTTTAAAATAAAAAAACAAATAAAATGTTATAAATAAAAACCACTAGCTACATGTAGCTACATTTAATTTTATATCAATAGAAAAATATAACAATTTAAACTTTCAAAAAACTAAATAAAATTTAAGTATATTTTATTAAATATGGTAAGAATGAATACAATTTATGCAGTTCTAATTTTACAAAATAAATATCAATATCTGGAATTTTTAAAATATATTTAATTTTAGACAATGGATAATTAGATTTTATATTAACATAATCAAAGTAATTATATTTTTAAATATGGAAAATCATAAAATTTATGTAAGTGAAATCTATAAAGTAATAGCTAGACGCTTAAATACAAATTAAATTACAGTGTCATAAAATATTTTCTTTAACTTTAATGATTTGGAATACTTACTATTTTATCACTTTATGTCATTTTTGTTAATTTTTATTATATTAATACATAAATATTTTATATTTTAATAAGAATAAAAATCCAAAATCCCACGTACATTGCCAAAAGCCAAGAAAATGTGGTTTTTGGTTTTTGGTTTTTGATTGAAAATAGATAATTACTTAAAAATCTGACTTCCCTATAGTTTAGGAAAATCTATTTTCTCAAAATCTTGACTGGTAAAAAAGATGGTTTTTAGATAGACAAAAACCAAAAACTGTTTAAAAATCTACAATCAATCAATAATAGAGCAAGATAACGACCAAACAAGTGAGAATTAATAATAGCTAAACGACAAAAATAAGGTTTTTTGTCATTTTCTGATCCAAACGACGGAGACACATCACCACTTTAATGACGCACTGACATTTCAATATTCGTATGTATATCTTGAAAATCTTACTTAAGTTTCCAAGTCTCAGTTTCGCCTTGAATTCTTCAGTATATCTCTAATGGCTATGATAAGCTTACTTGAAATCTCAGTTTCTTTCCTTTCTCTCTCCCTTTTCTTTGGATACCTCTTGATTAGAATGAAACCTCACCATTCATTTCCCACGAACTGGCCATTCCTTGGTATGCTTCCCGGCCTACTCGTAGAGATGCCTCGTGTTTACGACTATATAACCGAGTTTCTCGATGCCTCAAACTTGACTTTTCCTTTCAAAGGCCCATGTTTCGGTGGTCTCGACATGTTGATCACCGTAGATCCGGCTAATATTCACCACATCATGAGCTCACACTTCGCGAATTACCCGAAAGGATCCGAGTTCAAGAAGCTATTCGATGTTTTGGGAGATGGGATTTTCAACGCGGATTCTGATTTATGGAAGGATCTGAGGAAGTCAGCTCAAAGCATGATGAGTCATCCTGAGTTTCAAAGGTTTACGTTAAGAACAAGCATGAGTAAGCTAGAGAAAGGGCTTGTCCCCATTCTTGATCACTTTGCTGAGAAGAAACTTGTCGTCGATTTACAGGATTTGTTCCAAAGATTCACCTTCGACACTACATTTGTTTTAGCGACCGGGATTGATCCAGGTTGTCTCTCCATTGAAATGCCGGAAATCGAGTTTGCTAGAGCTTTAGACGAAGCAGAGGAAGCTATATTTTTCAGGCATTTCAAGCCGGAGATTGTTTGGAAGATGCAAAGGTTTCTTGGGTTTGGAGATGAGTTGAAGATGAAAATTGCACACTCGACTTTCGATCGAGTTTGTTCTAAGTGCATAGCTTCAAAGAGAGATGAAATAACTAGTGGTGTTACTAGCATCGACTCTTGTTCTAAAGATTTGTTAATGTCTTACATGGATGTAGACACAACCAAGTACAAGTTGTTGAATCCAGATGATGACAAATTCCTTAGGGACATGATTTTAAGCTTCATGTTAGCGGGAAGAGACACCACAGGTTCTGCTCTCACTTGGTTCTTCTGGCTTCTCACCATGAATCCAGAAGTAACGACCAAGATTCGTGAAGAAATCAACACAAAAATATCTCCAAGAACCAAAAATGATTCTGATCATTTCTCTTCATTCAATCCCCAAGAACTAAACAAGTTGGTGTATTTACATGGTGCCTTGTGTGAATCCCTCAGGCTATATCCGCCAGTTCCATTTCAGCACAAGTCTCCTACAAAACCCGACGTTCTTCCAAGCGGACACAGAGTCGATGCAAGTACGAAGATTGTGTTCTGTCTGTACTCACTAGGGAGAATGAAATCGGTGTGGGGAGAAGATGCATTGGAATTCAAACCGGAGAGATGGATTTCGGAAACTGGAAGGTCGATACATGTGCCATCTTTCAAGTTCTTATCGTTTAATGCTGGTCCAAGGACTTGTTTGGGGAAAGAAGTGGCTATGACGCAGATGAAGACAGTGGTTGTGAAAATCATACAAAACTATGAGATAAAGATCGTTGAAGGACACAAGATTGAGCCAGTTCCTTCGATAATTCTTCACATGAAACAAGGCCTTAAAGTCATGGTCACTAAGAGATGTAATTTGGTTTGAACGTTATTCAATACTTTTGTAATATATACTATGGAAGTGACTGAAGTTCTATAAAATATTGTGACTCAGTATAATAGAATTATTATGCGACATATTCTATTTCGGTTGGATATATACAGTATATAATAATACTAGATGTTTTCTTGCACCATGTGACGTGATAAACTTATTAAAGGTTAAATTATATTTAAATGAAATTTATTAATATTATATATAATATAAATTTTATTTAGTTAAGCACAAATTTATTTATTATATATACAGTATATAATAATACTAGATGTTTTCTTGCACCATGTGATGTGATAAACTTATTAAAGGTTAAATTATATTTAAATGAAATTTATTAATATTATATATAATATAAATTTTATTTAGTTAAGCACAAAATTATGAAAAATTAGATTTGTTTATTTTAAATTATATTTAATAATATATATGTAAAATATTTAAAATTCAAATCTTAGAATTTTTATCTATTTATTTTGGTTAAATGTATTAAATCAACTTGTATAAATTTACTAAGAAGATTTATAGAAAATTTTTATAGTTATTAAAAATAAAACTAAACAATATTTATAAAATTTGTCGATGTCTAAAAGAAATAAATGATATTACGATTAAATTTTATTAATTTTTTAAGTAGATGTATAAAATTTTGAAAATGTTAGTAATAAAAATTGTATGATTATAAAAGTAAAGTTAATAACATTTCCAAATTTATAATTCATATATCAAGATATTTATTTTTAGTGATGATTTGATTTAATTATAAGTTATTACCATATTTTAAGAAGTTTTCTAAAAATATAAATAAACATTAAATGTAATGTGTCAGTTATTGTCATATTCTATAAAATTTACCAAAAATATATATCATCAATAAATGTAATTGTCCATATCATATTTAGCTATAAGCAATATCATTAGTTTTCGTAGTCATATCATCAATTTTTGGTAAAAATAATTGTAGAGAGAACATGTGACAAATCACTTCACAAATAATATATAGAGGATTTTATAAAAATCTTAGACGTATATATACCTTTCTTATTGTAAATATATTTATACTCTATGTTACATGCAATCGGTGGAAGCAAAATGGTATGGAAGTGAAGAAACGGTATTTTTGAAAAAAAATAGGAAGTAAGCATAGAATCAAAATATATTATATATATAATTTTATAAGACATATGATTAAAATTATAAGATTCAAATAAAATAAGAACTTATTCATTTTAATAAATTTATAATTTTAAAAATATTAACAAATTACTTTATAAAAGTATTTTTCACTTACTTATTTATAATATCTCCTAAATAATTGACATAATATACTTGACTATATATGGAATACCTATTATAAAAAAAAAACTAAATGCACAAATACAATTTATTTTTATATAGGGAATTTGACACCAATAACCATTAAAAATAATTTAAGAGCTAACCATAACAACTTAATGTCTAGAATATTCTATGTATTATATGTATTAATTCATTTTTTATCTTTAAATTCCAGACGCACTTTTTTTATGCTTCTATAATAGACTTTGTTCTCTTTCTCCATAATACAATCATATCTTTTTCTCCATTATATGACTATTCTTTGATGACGATGAAAATTGTATTGATTAAAAAGAAAGTATTACAGTCGGTATTCAATCAGTGACAAAATTAAAAGAGTTAATTGTGATTAACTATTCTGAATCAACGTGAAATGTAAGAATATAAAAAATCAGACAATGAGTTGAAGAAGAAGATAAACAGTACTATATATGTTGCATAGTCTATTATATTTCGCTTGTACATATAGAATATAAATTAAATTTCAGTTAAGATAGTATATCAAATTTTTCTTCCATCTCCTACGGTGATTTATTTTCTCATCCATTAATTCAAAGATAACTCTACCAGCTACTCCCCACATGTCTCCTTATTTCAGTTCTTGCATCTGAAAAAAAATGTTTAGTTCAATTGAAATGGATTGTTCTATTCTATTTGACGTCATAAGATAGAATGTTTCCTTTACAATATCTCTCTGTTTACATGTCTTTGTCCTTGTTGTGTGTTCCATCATCTTCTTTGTGTGCTTCTGTTTTCTTCTAGTTTTTGTTTTTCTTCACATGTTACTCTTTTTTTTTTTTTCCCTCTTCTTCACCTTTCACCTTTCTTCTCTTTTTTTTTTCTTACTCTCTTTTTTTTCTCTCTTCTTCTTCTCTCTTCTTCATACTCTTACTGTATCTGCCATTCACCTATTTTTCCTTGGTTATATAATATGTTTTAGTTTTTACTTTGTTTAGCGGGTTCGATGTCTTCTTTTTGTTTGCATTGACTAGTGCATTTGATAATGAAATATGCTATCGATTTTATTTTACAGATATAATATGGCATGTTATAATATGTATCATTTTTTTCTTTTTTCTTTTCATCCTTCTTCACATATATCTTTTTCATCCACCAGCAGTATCAACTTCCTCCACCCATGTTAGATACACCTTTTTCCGTCATCACATACATTTTTGATTCTATCGGAAAAGATGAATTTTTTATGTTCTATTCTCTTATAACGTATAGAATAAAAATATATTTGTGTCGCTTATTCTATACTATGTTGCAGTCTTGTATAGTATAATCACATAATTGTTTAAATTCAATCTTATAACTAGTTAACTCATTTGTGTGACTATACTATGTAGTATATAATATCGTAAGATATTTTTAGTTTTGAATTGTCAACATTATGCACATGCGCCTGGAAGGAGAATTTAGTCATATTTGTGCGCAAATTATCACATCTACTGCAGCATAACTATATTTTTTATTTTTCAATCTCTTATGAATATAGAGCAAATCATCTCATTAATATATACAAATTTGTATCTTTCTATTTTAATACTGTTACAACTTAATTTTATATAATAACATAAAAATATAATTTTATATTATTTACTTATTTATGACTTTGATGTTTTTTTAAATGGGAGTGAGATTCTAAGAAAAACGTAAGTTTCAAACGTGTTTTTAAATAGTTTATATTAGAAACGTTTTAGTGTGAGATTCTTAAAGTGTCTGATTCCGATTCTACAGTGGGAAGTGAAGACCGATGAATCTTTCGTGCATCATAGTTTATGCTTGATTTACTGTGGCTAGTTGCTTACTTGTCTCAGACTCAAAATATCATTAATCATTAATTAAATTGCAACATGAGTTTTGTAACGTTCCAACCCTTTTAAGTTACGAAACTGTCAGTTTTGATAAAAACAAAAAAAAAAACTGTCATGAAATAAAACCAGCATCTGTCAATTGGTTTTTGTATCAGTTTTATAACTTATTAAACCAGCATCTGTCAATTCTTCCCATGTATCCAGTGTATTTTTATATGTTTTAAAATTAAATACATTATCTACTATATAGTTAAGCCCAACCAAATTAATTAATATTTCTTCCTTATACTATACTAAATGTTTTTCCAGACAACACGATAATTAATCTTATATTCAAACAATGTAGGACATTAGGTTCTATATTTTAATAACTTTTTATCTCATTTCCTATGATTTGGCTAAAACATTCAATTTATTTACGAAAGAAATTAAAAAAAATAAGTATTAACTGTTTTTCGGGTTTAGATACTTTAAATAATTTAACTTAGTATCAAATTAATCAAAATAATGAATGTTTTATTTATATTCTCATAAATAAAAATTACATTGATTTAAACTTAAAACCTTTCTTATTAGAGTTTGTTTCCTTAAATTACTTTTAAGAGTATATAATTATTAATGCGAGATTATGCTTAGTTTAAGTTGATATTAAATAAGTTTTAGACAAATAAAATGTCAGAGTCAATAAATTGGCATAGAGAATAAGTTTTATAATTTAAAATTTATCAGATGAGTATATATCACACAATTAATCAAACCAGTTCCATAGTTAAATATTTATAACAAACATGTTAAAATTTTTTAAAAACAAAATTAAGTAATATATAACATTATATTTAAGATGAATACAACTAATATAATTATATAGTTTTCAGATACACTAACTAAAATTTTCAAACTTTACTTATCAAAAAATATTTAAATATATTAATTTTGTTAATTAGATTTTTTTTAAAAGTATTTCCGCGCTTTTAAGTGAGTGTCAGAATCTAGTTTATATGAAACATAGGAAGTAACTGTTAAAGAAAATGTGTTTTTGGTAAGATCTTATTCTTTTTTCTTATTTCTTCTAATTTCAAAAGTATATATCCACCAAAAGTGTTTGAGTGTCATGAGTTTATTCCAATATTTTAGAGGACTTTCATCGGGTTTTACATAATCTGGATTAAGGGTGGACACAGACTAAATACTAGTAGGTTTTTAGCTTGTGATTTTTGTGTATTATGAATATCTAATTTTCAATTTCATTTGCTTCAAAAAATACAGATATCTATTTTTTCGGATATCCAAAAATATATGGACATTTGTGGATATTACGAATACTTGAATATCTCATCTGTTTAGCTTAATAAAAATAGTCTAGAAATTTTTTTTAAAAAAATTGTCCAGGCTGGTTAACATGGACTGATAAAATCCCAACAATTAAACGTCTTAGTTATACTTTGGAACTCATTTCCTTCGGAGTTTCGATTTTCCTAATGAAAAAGAAACATTTCTTCTACTATAGTTGTTTGTTTTAGGGTATGCTTACCTGAGTGTTTGGGATCGATTATGTTCCATTGGTCTGCTTTTGTTACTAGATTTTAAGGTAGACATATCTATTCCATGTTTGTGTTTTTGTTGGTCTAGAAGTGTTAATTTGATAGGGTGCTTAGTGGAGAAAGATGCAAAAATTTGGGTACAACTAGGTGATTATCTATGCATATGCGAGGAGTGAAATTTATATATTAATAATCGCTGAATATTAATTTTGACCGTTCAATCATCATGTTATAAGTCCCTAAACGTACAGTCATGAACTGTCAATATAAGGTTGATGAGTAGGGCAAGTTTGTTGATATTTTTTTAAACCTATTTAATTTATATTGGGCTTCAAATATATTATCTAGATGTTATAATTCACCATCTCAGTTTGATATGAAAAATTATATTTTTGAAATAATATGATTAAATAACATTTGAGATCTGTACTTGTGCAGAATAAATATTAGTTATGTATACATATTATTATTTATTTTTGTTCATTTACATATTGTGCAATAATATATATATATTGAATAAATGACCAGCGAGTAACTGTTACGTATATAACTAAATAGAGTAGCACATAAAGAAAAACAATCCCTCTTTGTATTTACAATAATTTTGTTGGTAAAAAAATAAAAGTAATCATTTATTATTGTTTATATGGTATATAATTAAAATTAAAGAATATTGACATAAATATATAACATATATTAATATTTATATTTATCAATTAAGGCTTTGTGTTCATATGAATTTATTAACATTTTTATATTTACTGTAATAAAAATATTATTTTTGTTAATATGACTATTTATTAATTGTTGTTTCCTACTAAGTGCAAATTTTGAAATTAACATTTTTATGTATTTTATATATGATATATATTTTAATGTAAATGATATTTAAATAAATATATATATATATACATATTATTTACTCTGAATATATATTAAATGAAACTTCATATTTATATGATTTTATGATTATTATTTTTTTGTTATAACAAAAAGTTAAATCACTGATCATAAAAATTTCAATGTAGATTTTTAACAATCTTGGTCATTTGTAATCAATTAAAAAATAAAAATATAGCAGATACGAAAAAAATCTAAATTTTTTATTATATAACTAATGTGATTTTTAATTACTTTTAAGAATATAAAATTTAAAAAATGATTGAAGATAGAAAAATTGTTATCAAATATTTATTTCAAAATAATTAATTTTCATATATTTGTTAACCATAGGTAATTCTGTTATTTTTTTTTTAAGAAAAAGGATTAAGAATATTCATTCTTATACACTATCAATTAATTTGATAGTTAATTTAATTAAAAAATATAATATATATTGACATGGACCAAACTATTTTTCTAAGAATTCTAAAAATTAAAATAATAGTGACATGTGGCTACCAATTCATGTTGTAATGCTCTAGGATTAATATATAAGGGGATAATGGTATTTTATTTATTTATTTTTTTGTTTATGAATTGATACGTCTGTTTTTATTGGGTAATTTATAACACCTTTATGTAGGGCTGAAATTTTTGTCCGGGATCCGAATTTGATCTGATATCCGCTCCGGATCCGCTCCGAAATTAGGATATGCGGAGGTGTCCGGGTCCAAATCCGGATAGTAAAATTTCGGATCCGTGCAAACCGAATCCGGATTCGGATATCTTAATTTTTAGGTCCGGAATCTGGATTCGGATCCGTATTTTAGAAAATATATTAATTTTTTTATTTTATCATTAATTATAACTGATATATTAATATTTATACATAAAAAAGTTTAATAATATTCTACTTTTATATTAATAATATTATATGTCATATATATATTCTTAAATTATGCATAAATATTTAGTTTATGTATTATTTTAAAAAAAATTCATTTTTTTTTAAAAAAAAATAGTTATTCTTACGGATCCGAATCTGAATCCGGATACCCGCGGATATCATAATATCTATACGGATATCTGAAGCCCGGATATCTGGAAGACACGAATCCAAATCCGGATACTAAAATCACGGATCCGACAAATCCAGATACTTCAAATTTTTTGGATATCCGGATCCGTCCCACCCGTACCTTTATGCGTATTTTTAAGGAAAAAATACTCAAACATACTATAAATAAACGATCTCGAAATTTATTGAGCATAAAGAAAACAAATTCGATAACATCAATTAATTTACTGCATCACAAAGTTAGTGAAAAAACCATATAAAACCTAAATTGGAATAAAGAAAAAATATATCATGCCAAAAGACACCAAACAAACTTCATACTAGATAACAGATGACTAAGTCAGTTTTGGAAAGCAGCGTAAGGTAAAGATTAGTTAGAGAGACGAAGACTTGAAAAGTCAACTCGAGTCTTCTTCCAAAAATTTCAATCTCATCTTCGTCCTCACTCCTCTTCACATCAACCACATGTTTCTTCATCTATTGCCCTCAAATACATGATTTTCACTACTTACTCTCTCTCTAGATTTTTCTATCTCAACTATGGAGAAGCTCTGTTTTACAAACTCTGTTTCTGTCTTTATGACTATGGTAGTTATTGTTCTTCTTCCACGTCACACTCTTTCTGCTACTCGTCCCGAGAAGTTCTACGTCAACTGTGGGTCAGACTCTAATGTCATTTACGGTGGTCGGACCTTCGTCGGAGATATGATCTCCGGTGGTAACTCCGTTTCCTTCAACAGTAAAGGAAGTGAAGCCAGCAACCAATCTGGACCAGGAATCTACGGGACGGTAAGGATATTCAGACGCCCTTCTTCTTACAAGTTCCAACTCGACTCTGTTGGTCTACACTTTGTGCGTCTCCATGTCTCTTCTCGGACAGAGCTTTTAACTTCTCGTTTCACCGTCTCTGCTACTTCTGGTTCCACTCATCACTTCAAAAGTTTCTCGTTTCAGAACTTCAACGAGACTCCACGAGTTGAGGAGTTTCTCCTGATGATTAACTCGCCGAAACTCGAACTCCGATTCGTGCCTGAAAGTTCCTATGTAGCTCTTGTCAACGCCATTGAAGTGTTCTCCGCTAGTAACGACCTTGAGATTACACCTGAATCCGACAAGAATCTGCATACGATCTACAGGTTAAACATAGGAGGCGATAAAGTCACACCGGACAACGACACCTTGGGACGTACTTGGTCCCTAGACGATGAGTTTCTCTACCAGAAAGAGCCAGCGAGAGACATTAGAACAGCACAAAAGCCTAATTACGATTCGGGGTCGGTCACGGATCTCACAGCTCCTGATTTTGTCTACCAGACAGCTAAAGCAATCAACCGTAGCTCCAGTGAGATGGTGGATATGTTGATGAACATCACTTGGTCTTTTAAGGTGAAAAGTAAAACAAAGCACTTCATACGGGCGCACTTTTGTGATATCTTGAATGCTTTACAAAGCCCTGACTCCGATTTCTATCTCTATGTGAACGGGTATTTGAAAATAGATGTAAAGCCTTCAGAGCTAAATAGGCAGGTCACTCCGTTTTATAAAGATGTTGTGGATATCTCTGATGAGTCTGGACTCTTTAATATTAGCGTTGGTACTAAGGAGCCTCGTAAGGTTGCTGGTTTTCTGAATGGTCTGGAAGTGATGGAGTTTCTGAAGGTATCTGGTTCTGATTCTTCAGAGAAAAGTAGTTTCCGGGTTTACATCATTGCTGGTTGTGGTGCTGCTGGATCAATCCTGGTCTTGAGTTTGTTGTTTGTTGTTTTCTTGAAACGAAGGAGATCAAAGAAGAAGAAGAAGCCAGAGGATGAGGCCACTGTCTGGTCTCCTTTGGCACTGCACAGAGGTGGGAGTTCTGACAATACACCTTTTGATCCAATCCATAATTCGCCATTTCGCACCAGTAGACCTTTCGATCCGGTCCACAATTCGCCATTACGCAACCTAAACTTAGGCTTGAAGATTCCCTTCACAGACATTCGGAGAGCCACCAACAACTTCGATCCTCAGTGGTTGATCGGGAAAGGCGGTTTCGGAGATGTTTACAAAGCCATTCTTCCTGATGGAAGCAGAGCAGCTATAAAGAGAGCAAAGACAGGTTCAGGACAAGGGATACTAGAGTTTCAAACAGAGATTCAAGTCTTATCAAGAATCCGGCACAAACACCTTGTTTCTCTAAAGGGTTACTGCGACGAAAACTCGGAGATGATCCTTGTCTACGAGTATATGGAGAAGGGCACGCTTAAGGAGCATCTCTACGGCTCGGGTTTGCCGTCATTGACATGGAAACAGAGACTAGAGATATGCATTGGAGCAGCCAGAGGATTGCATTATCTCCACAGTGGCTCAGAGGGAATCATTCACAGAGATGTCAAATCCACAAACATACTACTAGACGATAACAACGTGGCCAAAGTTGCGGATTTCGGGCTCTCGAAACTCGCGGCTCGTGATCAAGATCCGATCAATATCAGCATGAACATCAAAGGAACGTTCGGGTACCTAGACCCTGAGTATCTACAGACACATATCTTCACGGAGAAATCAGATGTGTACGCGTTCGGAGTTGTTCTCCTCGAGGTATTGTGCGCGAGACCAGCTCTCGCGCACGATCTTCCGCACGAGGAAGTGAACCTTGCGGAATGGGCAATGTTCTGCTTGTCAAAAGGGATAGTGGATGAGATCTTAGATACAAAGCTTGTAGGCCAAATCGAGTCTAGTTCTTTGAGGAAGTTCATGGAGATCGTCGAGAAGTGTGTAAGGGATTGCGGCGAAGAGAGGCCGAGCATGGGGGATGTGATATGGGATCTTGAATATGTTCTACAGCTTCATATGACGCCCGTTCAAAGAGAAGCTCATGAAGATAGCACCGTGATGACTATCTCAGGCGGTGGAGGTGGAAACTCGTTGGTTGTTCCGAGGTTGATGGTGAGTGATTCGTTTAGCGCAAACTCGTTTGTCCAGAATAAGAGCAGCTATGGAGATTCATCGGAGACGGAGGTTTTCTCTCAGTTGAAGATCTCTGAAGCAAGATAAAAGGCTTTGCATTAACCGGGTTTGACCGTGTCCGTATCGGTTAACCGATATGGAAATAATATCCAAATTGTCCGATTGAATATATATATAGATTTTAAATTAATGAAATATTTTCATAATTTCCTTAAATAATATCCAAATTGTCCGATTGAATATATCCAAATTCTCCAACATACATCTTTATATTTTCTTTTAGAAGAAACTATAGAAAATACTACTTTTTATTTTTATACTAACTGTTTTATCCGCACATGCAGTAATAATTTCTTACAAATATTTATTAATTTATATTTTAATAATTTTAAAACAACATAAGCAGTTAGGATTTATGTTTTAAAACTAATTATAAACGACCCCACTCACATAACAAAATATTTTAAAAATATATATTCATAAGAAGTTTTGCTTGATTTTGAATTAGTTTTAATTTTATATCTTAATGTTTTTATTTCTGTAATAGAAAAAAATATTTTCATGATAACAATATAATACATAAGAAATATCTTATTTTCTAAAAAATATAAAATGATTAATAGAAATTCATTTTATTATATAATAAATTATATATGAACATCACAAATAAAAAAATTACCTAAATTATGAAGAAGTTACAAATCAAAAAATTGATTTAAATTTTATATTAGAAAATATATTTTCAAGATAATAATCTAATACATAAGAATTATCTTATTTTTTAAATTTAATATTAAAAGAAATTCATTTTTACTATATGATAAATTATATATGAAATTATTAAAGCATGCTAAATAATAATAAATTAATTAATATCATGAAGAAGTTGACAAATCAGCATTGCTTGATTTATATTTAATTATACTTTTATATCTTAATTTTTCATTTCTGCAATAGAAAGATATATTTTCAAGATAATAATATAACACATAAGAATTATCTTATTTTCTAAAAATATAATATTATTAATATAAATTTGTTTATTATATAAGAAAATATATATGAAATTATTAAAATATAACAAATGTGCAAAATTACATACACGGAGAAATTATACAATTCACTTAAATTTAAAAATATAATATATATTTTCATGATAACAATCTAATACAAAAAAATTAATTTAGTTCTAAAATATATTATTATTAGTTTAAGTTCATTTTTATTTTATAACAAAATTAGATATGAAACTATTAAAGAATGACAAACAATCAAAATAATCTAAAATCGTGAGGAAATTGACAAGTAAATTTACTTTTCAAATAATAGTATAGATTAAAGGAGGAAAATATCATTTTTCTATATTTTTCCTATAAATAGAGGAATTTTATTATAGAAGTATAGATTGTAGTAAATCTACTTTTATAATAGAGATTCTCTATTCTATAAGAAAATATAGAGGTGAATATAGAAATAGGTTGGACTTGTTTCTTAGAGCATCCCCATCAGTGAACCTGATGGGGAGAGGTTCATACGAATAAAAAATAAATTTTTTTTTTTATTTCAAAAAAAAAAAAAAAATTTGGCGAATCATAGCTCGCCACGTGGCGAACCCGTGACGAACCGGGTTCACCACGACGAATCCACGCGCGCCGGGTTCATCACTGTTCCTCTCGGAAAACGTGTGAACTCCCCCTTAGAACCCCTAATGGGGATGCTCTTAATTCAACTTATATGAACTCTCTTTAACCAAATAAAACAAAACATGATTTGTTTCTGTCTCCTTTTTTTTTGGTTCCATACAAATCAACCGGAAAGACTTCAGATACAATAGATTTAATTTTTTTTTTTTTTTTTTTTTTTTTTTTTT